TGCTCTCGCTGCCAGGACGAGTTTGTTGTCGACTGTACGCCTGATAGGGTACCTAATGAGGTATCCTGTAATCATTCAGTCTTCTCAGCATCGGAGGTCGAGGCGCTACATGATGTGATGGCTTCAGAATTGCATTTGCTAGAGAGATACAACGAGAAGATTACGGAGCTGAAGTCTGCTCTGGGAAAACTGAAGTCGGAGAGAGGAGCACTCCTGCGAAGATACAACACCCATCAACATTCAATTCCATCTATCCGAAAGTTACCCGCCGAGGTGCTGGAGAGGATCTTGCTCGAGGCTTGCTACACACGACAGATAGAGCGAGTGAGCTCTCGATATCCAACTTCTCATAAGGATTGCCCCGCAGAGACCTGGGCCCCTCTCATCCTGTCCCATATCTGTCTTAGATGGAGACAGATCGTCATTGGGATTTCGTGCCTTTGGACCTCCTTCCACGTCGACTGGGAAATTGGAGTTGAGCAATACTCCTCTTATTCGATGATCAAGACCTTTCTTGAAAGATCACAACACAAGCCTCCCACGATACGCGTCGATACGCCAAAAGCCAGGATAGAATTAGTCTATTTGCGACACCGTTCCTCTACAACCTCATCACTCGCGCATCGGGTCTCCAGCTCAGCTGCTCCGTTCGATGGAATCAAGATGTATTGCGGGATCTCTCCTTTCCCTTTCTGAGAACTCTCACCTTGTTCAATGACGACTATTCCGGACACCCACAAGCTTTGATGGCTGCTCCGGAACTAACAAGCGTCTTCGTTGAAGGCACGGGTGGCCAACTCACGGACATGACCTTCCCTCGACGTCTATTGAAGTGGAAACCTTGGTCTGGCATTTGAATGTCCCAATTGGCTCTCTTCTCAAAGACGAATCCCGAACTAGAGGAGTTTATTAGGACGTGTGCAGTCCCTTGTATTGTCGTGCACTAGTCCCGCAGGAAGTCCGTTTCCGTTTTGTACAAACGATCGGATGTTACAGCCTACTACCGCGACCCCTTCGATGCTTTCAGTTGTCTCGACGTTCCCAGTTTGAAGCAGCTAATCTACAATTTCAATCCTGACCGCCGCTTATTCCATCCACCCCTTCCGATTTGTTCATTGCGTTCCTTCGCCACTCTTCTTCCACCCTCGAAACATTAGAGATATCGGTTCTCCGGGAGTACATCACATCCAATTCACAATGGGTAGCCGACGCATTTTTGCCTTCGTTTGCCTCAACGACGTTCAGGCTTACCGTTCGGAAGGGGAAATACACGGTATACGAAGAGATGGAAGACCATACAGATGACTTGTCGAAGACGCTAATAAGCCTTTCCTTCCTTCTTGCGGTCCAGGACGAAACAGTGGACGTCTATCTCCCAAATCTGGAAACCCTCAACATCAAGTTGTTTGATGAATACGATGGGGCGAAGGCGGCAGTCGACCAACTCTGTTACGGCGTAGGCAGGGAGGAAATTGAGTGTGACGATGGTGTGGTCTTGAAGCGAGGGTCGGAGTCTGACGTTGTAATTTCAAGGAAGAAAGGGCACAATGTACTGTAGATTGCGACTAATCCCCATTTGAACTGAGGCTCGGTCGTTTGGTTTAACCTGTATTCAATGAAAAGACCTTAAAATTCTGTAGAAAATAGAGATTCGACTACGTCGACGCCGGCTTCAATACATACTGTCTTTACGAGACCTACCCTAGATTATTCACTTGCTTAGATTTTGAACATCACTGGGGCCAAGATTTCTATACGGAGGACAAGGAAATGTTTGGACTCAGGGCGGTTGGTTGACTCAATGATGCAGACCCTCTACGGTTCTCGTTATCTCGTGTTTTCCATTCATCTCGTGTTTTCCATTCATCTCGTGTTTTCCATTCATGGTATCTTCTTCAATGCTCATGAACGCCCCTGCTCGCGATTACTCAAGTCTCCTTTCGGTGCTGTAGACTAGGTAGCTACAAGATGCCCCAAAATTCGTGGACGCTACGTGGTTCGGTCTTCTTGTTTCTTTGAGTTTTGCTCCATGACAGCACCTAAAGAACGCGCTCATTGAACCATCCAAATTCGACTCCAGTTCAGCTCATCGTCACAAGCGCGACGTCGTCAAGATTTATATCATGTACGTACTCCCGAAATACTACCCAAGCGGGTCTCCCGCAGCAACTCCGCCTTTTCAGCATCAGGACATTTTGATTCCTCGGCTCGAGGACTTGTCCCAACAACGTTAACATGAACCCGTTCACTTGTACCCTTCCAGGAGGCCCGTTCTTTACCTTTGCCAACAGGCGCCATCGTATTAGATCTCGGTACCTTATCAGGGTATAGAAATTCAGCGAGCCAGCCTCCTGAATATCCCCTCAGTGTACTACTACGGTGCGCAATGGTTTGCTAGTATCGTTGTCCTGCTATCCCAAGCAGAATCTATAGTCGAAAACTCAATTCCTTGTGAGTTCGAGGGTTCCGGTAGCCGTTGAAGATGTATTATGACGCGACAGCCCTTGAGAAAGAACCAAAGTCAGTTCATTCGACTCCTGGACCGGGAAAGGGTGAAATGTGCGTACCGCTCGTGAAACAACCGTAATCAATATCCTAAATAGAGAGGGAAAGTATAAGTCATGTACCTCGACTTCGTGAGGGTGACTAGGCCTACGGAAAGATGAATAACACCCCAGTCCCCGACTTATAAGTCCCAACAATGACCGAGGCCACTATACCTGAAAAAGATCTCCAACCTCAATGTGGTAGAATAGAGGAGATATGCCGGATCTCACCTGAAACCGCTATCGAAACATACATCGCATCCCTATTCAACACCGAGCTCAACGTTGGAGCTGACGACCACGCCCACCCATCTTTCATCGTCTTCGCCAGCGTTAGGAAGCATATGATTATCTGAACGGATAGCTCTCCGAAGCTTCAACATGACGAGTTTAGAGATGACGAGTTCCAGCAAACATCGAGGCGACAGAAGATCGACTCACACAAACAGAGCGACTCCTATTCCGGGATCTGTATCGAAAGGTTGGGTCGCCAGGCATATGTAATCAAAATGGATATCCCGGTCGACAACCATGTTCTTATACCGAATAAGAAACCAAATCGTCGGGCCTATCCGGGCGAGAAACAGAGAAATGAGGAACAGCCCCATGAGAAAGCTTCGACGGTAGAGCGCGTACACTGAGATGAAAATTTACAACAAGGGAGGGAGCCGATGTGGAGGCAGGGACAAACCTCGGAGCATAAGTATCGCATGTAGCAGCGTGAGCACGACCATGCATACAACTGCCTTGTAGATAGAATAAGCGTGGCAAACGTGAGGTGGCACCGCGGTGTATTTGTGTTTCCAGATAGACGATATCACGATATCTGCTCTTATGTCGCAAATAGGCAAAGAAGGAGAGTGAAAGGACTTAGACGAGCGCTTTCTGAGATCATATAGACGATGAAAATGGTACTCACAACTGGAAAATCGCTGTGCAATATTTGCACAACACATACAGAACCGTGGCTTTGTTCAACTCGAGTGGCGGGCTAACATTGATAGCGGGAGACGTGATTCAGGTGATAAGCTATCAGCCCCAAGGTGATGAAGGAGCCCACTGATTCACTTGAAGACCGTGGCTTTCTCGTCGCCTCGACACCAATACATATCGCCGCTCGTCAAGCCCAATCCGAGACCTTCATGTTTGGTTTCCGTACCGTCGTAAGTCAGCAACCCCGAAGTCCGTAAGGAAAGATCAAAAAACCCACAAGAAGCTGCCAATTGGACGTTCATCGCGCCAGATGAATGTTGGAGGCAGGCGTCCGTGAGGGAAACGCGAAGGGAGGTGATGACGGGGCCACCCTTGTCAGATAATCATTTATAATCTCCAGTTCTGAACTTTATCGATGCAGCCCTGAGTGATATTACACATCTTCCGACAATACATTCGGGAGCGAGACGAATCTCCGAGAGGCGTGTTCAAGCGAGGCAGGTCTCACTCTCAGTTCGAGAGAAAGCACCCACAGCTTTGACCCTCATCTACTCAAGCGCGGCTAGACACTAAGCCGAAAATGCTCCGGAGAAAACGTCCCCACAACCAGGGCGTAAGTGAGATCCCTGGCGTTTCATGATATTCAGTGATCACTAGAGATTCCGAGAACACGGTAACTATGAAAACGCGATCGTGAGAATGCTAGATCCTTTGTATTATCATACAGGTGGCATCGAGTAGCCCATGATCCTTTCAGTGCCCAAAGGAGGGCAAAGCAATCATAGAAAGGTAGAGCTAAGTATGCAGATAGAAAGGTGGCGGCGTGAAATTCAACACCCTAACATCCTCGCTCCGTTCTACCGTCCTGGAGCCTGCTCAATCTATAAGGAACCTCGAGATCGGATGAAGAGTAAATGTGTTCATGTTCATGAATCATTATCGACGGCGATGGATACAATTTCCGTCCGTCAGATCGTCAGACATCTCACTGCATCGACGGAATATTTGGCAGATTTCCGCGATAGTTAAAAAAGTCGGCCAAATTCCGAACATGCCTTCTTTCTAATGAGCTTACGAGTTCTATTCAATTGGAAGGCGCGATTGAAAGGATGGTGAATCATAACATGTCAAAAAAAAAAGACGTTAAATGTGCCTACAACTTCGGAGGGAACTCATTCTGCGAGTCAGGATTCAGACCACAAATTGAAGTTGGATCCAGTGGCGAAAGAGAACTACACGTCCCAGGCAACCGGACCTTTTAGTGTACGGCGATCCACAGAGTACGACTTTTGGTAACAAGCCAATCAAGCGCCGCCGTCCCGGAATCAGACACGGTCCCGGGTAGATAGCTATCACATTGCATTGAACCTGTCATTTACTATGCCTGGCATTGATCAGTCACTGTATCTCCGCTTTGTCTCGCAACTCATAGTTCAGACAGCGGACAATCACGACCACCAATAATTACTCTTCCTGACCCAGCTGAGAGTACGACACCTCAATAATGCGCATTTGATTAGCGGGTCCATGGTCTAGTGGTACGATTCTCCCTTCGGGTGGCAGCCCGCGGCTTCTGTGCTGCGAGAATGGGAGAGGTCCTGGGTTCGATCCCCGGTGGACCCCCAGCCATTTTCATTCATGATCTTTCCTGCTTCAGTTGCGTATTGGCGTCACGCACGCAGGCAGAATTTACAAGCGAGATCATTTAAGATCGAAGCGCAGGCGTTGTATCTGTGAGTCCTGCCCTTTGAACTTTTGCGAGACGTATATGTGATTGTTTTCTCTCCGCGACTCCAAGCATCACTACTACAATCGTAAGTCTATCTTGTATGTATTGTGTCTTTTATGTATTGCGACTTGTACTTGCAGGGGACGAAGATCTAAACCAGCTTCTCGACCCCCGATCGCTCGAGATCGGAATGGAAGTTCTCATTGATACCGACCGGAGGCTTCCAGTCTCTAGCTCTGAATTCGTATCCGTGCCCCACTGTCTCCGGTCTCGCAATATATCTTTCGATATGATATTCAGATATCTCCCTCCATCGTTGTTATTGTATGCCTGCTTTTCTTCCCAGCTGCCCGTATCGATTGAAGGACCACCACGTTTCGTGTGTCGAGCATGATGATGTTTGGCCGATGGGAAACCGGAAGCCGAGTCTGCGCCTGGTGTCGACGACAACGAATGACTAAGAAGCCAAGGATTAAGAGTAAAATTAAGGAAATGATGCCGGCGGTTACACTTCCTAGTATCGTGGCCTTGTCTATGTTACCATCCTTCGGGACTGTACCAGTTTGTGAAGGTTCATTCGAAGTTGCACTAGCTGCGGGGCTGACATAAAGAGAACTATATGGTGGAAGGACGAAGTGGGCGTATAAGTATTAGTAAATTTCGTGAATCTCGGTCAAACAAAACATATCACTTACGACGTTTGTGACCGGGTCGTGCCTTCAGCTGACTCAGAGACTGTGGGGCCTGGAAGAGCTGACGGATCAACCTTGAAGATGAATGGCGGTGAAAATGGGATTGGTTCCCTGTGATCAGCATGATGGTTAGAGTATTGTAAGCGAACTCCCGTGACTTGAAAATAGAGTATTTTACACTTTCTCCGTCGTCGTCGTCGTCTTCAACTGCCACTAGTTCAAAACGGCTAGTCAATCGAATCAGAACAATCCAGGCCCTTGTGACTTGTTGTGGGGCACTCACCCTGTCGAACTCGGGGTAAAGGTGATGCTTCCGTTTTCATCATCGTCGTGTATCGTGACTGTGTAGGTTTGCACTTTCGAGTTCTCTGGCTCAACTGGTGGTGGTCGTGGATCGTTATGGTCGTCTCCATCCTTAGACCACCGGATCGTAGTCGGTTGTGAATTGATAAAGGCTCCAGGCAGTTTTCCACTAAATCTAAGTTTGTCCGCTCCGACGAGGCAGACGAAGATGCCCTGGATATAGATGAGTGGTCGATGGCCAGAGAGTCTCATCTGTGTAGGTTGCACTAGAGGGTTGTGTGGGACGCTCTTGTTGTGAGGAGAGTGAACCAGATAAAGAAGAGATCAAGCTAGATCAAGGGAATTGAGTCTTCACAACACGAGAAATCACCTCATTTCAAACCAAATTTTCATCTGAGGCATAGCTTACATTCATACCAGCCCCCGTGCACAGCTTCCCGGCTGATGGTATCTGATGTGGTGTGGATTGGATTGTGGATGCCAAGATATTGTGATGGAGTGCATATATGAGGAGTGTTTCCCAGCTACAGGGTGAGCCAGGAGCGCAAATATTTTCCATTATGCAATGGAGGCACCGTAGTACTGGCTGCAGGTCGACCTTTGGTAGGTCTGTGAACTTGATTCCTGTTGTGATCAGCCCTTTGCACAGCCTCAAATTGCAGTAATACGCTGCGGAAAAAATGACCCTTCGCAAAGAACGGCGTGTCTCTGGAGTGGTTGACTAGCAATAGCTCGTCATCCTCCGTCTAGTAACGTTGGAGTTGGCAAGTGTATAGTCCGGCATACAGCAACTATCTCTCAGGGCACTGGATCGAGACTGAGTACGGATGATGGTCGTGCAATGAGGAAAGACTTTACTTCCGTAAGCAATACGCCCAGAATGAACATTTTCACGTATTGACCCAGCCCGGATTCTAACGTTTCCAGAAGTCTTATCATGTTGAATAACCGCGATTAATCATGAGCTGACTGCTCGGTTGTGACTGAAATTATGTTTAAAACTTGTGTGCAAGGGGATGTCAATTTCGTAATAAGCGTCCGAGTTGAATTTTTTCAAGTCAGCGGCTCGATTTCTGGCGCCAGTCGGCAGATGGGAGCAGGCTGCGTGGCAAATGTGATGACAAATTATCGTTACACCAAAGACCCCCGCACTAACTACCAGGCCCCATACCACAATGACACTCAGATTCAATAAAAGAGTTTGTGGTAGTGTGGTCTGGCCAGGCGAGACTACCACCAAAAAGCTTTTAGCGATTCGTCGTGGAAGTACCGTAGTAGGTACAAGAAGATGCGGAAGAGTCTAGAATATCAAGCTGAAATGTTTGTGCTTGCAAAGAACCTTCCTCACGGCCACCAACCCAACTCGAATTCCGAGACAATTACATATACGAGAATATCGTAGGTGAAGATTCGAAATTTGGCATGAAAATCGAGATAATAATTACGCTGACTACGATCGGGGAACGGCTATCAGGCATCGCCGCCTGCAGCTGGTCGAGTGACATATCTTTCTGCACGCACGGCCAGAGATTGATCCCAGGTGTCGATCTGGAAACTGAGTTCTGCTGTAGATAACTCTCTGCACGAATGCTGTTGGAAGATGATTTTTACCAAACCCGATCGCGATCTTCCAAACAAGTGAACTGTGTGGTGCCTCGACATCCGTCGTCTAACAATGGAGGCATGAACAGATTTCGTGGTTCAGGAATACAATTCGCCTGAATAAATCTGGGTACTACTAGCGATCGGGAAGGAACTTTGTTCCATGGTACTAAGAGGTGATTCGGCGGATTTCGTGTATGGGAAATCAGCGTGGAAAAACTTCACTTCCGGACGTTTTCAACCGCTCACTCAAAAATACCCATCAATTCTCCCGGGAAACATAATCTGGCGGTGCTGATCTATCACCCTCCGCCTCTAACGTTTCTATTCGTCGCATCATGTTGGCCAGTTGAGTCTGAACATGAGCTGGTGGCTCGGTTGCGACTGGAACAGAGTTTGGTAATTGTCTATGTTGTTCTTGGTCCGCAAGCCGAACTTTGCCAGAGGTGGTCCAGGATGATGTAAGTTGGGCAGGTTGACAATAGGGCAACGGTGTGATCACAGTTTCTGCTAGTTTCTCTGAATTTCTGTGATCAGAAGCGTTTTTGAAATGCATTAAATGGGACATACTCCTTTTAAGTGTTCTGTGTTTCCCCGGAGTCGCAGGAATAAGAACATCGCAACTGGTAATAGAAAGAACGTAAACACAATCGCTCCGACGATGCTCCCAGCGAGGACTCCGATTGAGGATTTTCGCGAAGCTGAAGCTGCCAAGGATGGAACGGAAGGCTCTGTATGGGGGTCATCAGGAGTTGATACGGACGTGGGCACCGTTGTTATATGGTTCATGCTGTGGAAGACATTCAAAATTGACATACAGATGTTAGTAGATTGCGTGCGTCCCGTTTGATGGCCATGACAGCAAAGGCATGAATCACTCACGATGTCGTTCTTGAGGCCTGAAAAAAATTCGGCGTTTCAAATGCAAAGGCAACTGGTGGATGGGGTGTTATTCTTTTACTGCGTGAATGAGACATTGTTGGTGAACTTTTCAGGCGGGAAAAGAATCCGGAGATTGGCCCTACCCCTCGTTGCCATCTTCGATTTCGAACCCCAATAGCGCAAAGTAACTGGCATGTTCAATGATGGTGAGTGTGTCTTTCACAAGTGATGTAGTACTCACCCGGGGACCCTCGGGGCGAAGGTGAAGGTTCCATGGTCTGAGTCATCCTCCGCGATGGTTGCAATAGGGATTTTCACTTCAATACCGGAAGGTTGCGAGTCCTGAACTAGCTTGAATACCAAGCCATTGTGTCGTATGTCGTCCTCGTGCCACAGGATAGTGACAGGTTGCGAAATGGTAAAGATTGTTCCTGGTGACACTATTCGAAGTCCTTTCCCTTCGACAGAGACGAAAATGCCCGGGAGGATATAGACGAGTAGCCGGTGGCGAAAGAACCTCATCTGCCCGTTCGCTAGTGGAACGCTGGTGCGTTGGTTGGGAGGAGAGTACATTCAGGAGAAAGGTATCAAGATGATAGTGTAGCTACGGTCATCTCACTTCCTCTTGGGAGCAAAATCTATTCTATATCGATAGAATTGCGTCATGCTGTGGGGCTCTTCATCCCCATCTTGCATCTTGCAGTGCTGTGATTCCAACTCAGCGTTCATATGCTCATGAGAGCCCAGTCGAAAGGATGAGTCGCGTGTAAGGATACGATGGTTGCAGAGTGAGCCAAGAACGCTGAGGTCATTCGATTTCCAGAAAACACGTAGATTTGGGGTCCTCGAGGAGACTCAGTCCGTCGATTCCGAGTTCGCATTGTCGTTAGATTTGAACCGCACCCGGCTCCAATTACAGCGGGGAAGCATGTCCTCAACACTGATGTGGTGTATGACGACGGGGCGTCGCCCAAAGATGTTCCGTGTCTGGCTCCGTCAGCATCCTGAGTCTAGAAGTTTTCCGAAGCAATGGGTCCATGGTCTAGTGGTACGATTCTCCCTTCGGGCAGCGCCCGCAGCGTGATGCTGTGAAAATGGGAGAGGTCCTGGGTTCGATCCCCGGTGGACCCCATTTAGAATTTTTTTCCTTGCCCGGATCCGACTAGCCTGGTTGACCGCTCTGAGCCGAGCTTGCCCTTCAACCATCATCATCACTCCGAACAGTACCTCGGCTCTCACCTGGCCGCATCCTCTCGCAACTAACAATCTCCTTGGCCTCGTTGTCTTTACAAGCCCCTATGTCGAGCTCTACCTACCATCTCTGATTGATAGACACGCGTCCATCTCATGGGCAAGAAAGAATACCATCGGGAATCCTCGAAGGGCAATGTACAGCTAAGATGAACCTCACTGGATTGCATCAGGACGCAGTCTAATAGGTATGTCCTTTTTTCGTTGTCAAGATTTTCTTACGCCTACTTCCTATTCCTTTTAGCAGCGATGTACAGTGCCAACAGTGAAAAAAAAAAGGGAAACACGTACTCTGCTCATATACTTCGTAAATGACAGTGCCTTGTAGGCAGGCCAGCCTTACATCCCCTTTTGCATCCATCGCTCACGCTTTTCTCTGCAGACTAGATATTACTATGTATATCACAAAGTCCGGCAGGCTGAGGAAGACGGGGACGGTTGTGAGCCACGACAGAGAAATGGATAAGAGTACAACGTCGGTATGCTCTATCACGATCGAGGTGCGTTCCGATAACGAGCCATGCTAATTCTTTTCGTGTTGACCCAGCAAACAGATACGCAATAGGCCCTAGAAGTACTCTACGATAGGGCGTCGAAAACCCTCGAAATGTCAACATAGAACGATCACGCCTGTGGAGTTTGATTATGGCCCGCAAACCAGGCCAAGGCATACCCATTTCCTTCAGTGTGGTCGTTTCATCGACTAGCGATGATCTACCAGGCAAGGTCACTGCTGCTTTCGAAATGAAATAAAGAGTTCATTGCCAGGGAATCTATCGAGGAAGAGTGGAGGAGCCAGCAAAAATTCTCGAAGTCATGGTTCTCGGTTCCTCTTATACTCTCTTACGAACCATAGGCTCGGTACCGTGCCAAAAACTCTTTAGAGGGGGCGGCGTAGACCCATCGACACGGGAAGTTACATTCGCTATGGTGGAAGTGCGTCATTTTCAACTTCTCATCCTTTCTTCGGATGATTGTACGTTTCCCAGACGACCAGTCGGATGCAAACCTTAAAGAAAACGTACCAAAATCTAGGACACGAGAAGACCCGGTTGAACATCATCACCACTGAAATCTACGTTTGCCACTACGAATCCTCAGTTACGACGCACCACTCTCTCCAGGTTCTCTCACCTCGATTTCTCTTACTCAAGTCAAACCCGGGTGACGGCACACGCTCCTTTAACGACGTATGATGCTCGAGAATCGAGAACAGAACAGGGAAAAACGTTGTCCTTTCTTACCTTAGACCGAGAGCTGATTGTGATTTGATGTGATGGAAAAGTCATATCGCCGGTTTAGCTTAGTGGTAGAGCGTTGCACTTGTATTCGCAATACTTCGTTGTACAATGCAAAGGTCGGTTGTTCAATCCAGCCAACCGGCAGTAGCAATTTACGGGGACACATGTTTTTATTCCTTCTCGATCGTCGACCTGTACATGGTATCAAAAACGAAGAACGAGCTTCGGAGTATCCCTGTCCCGATAATGATTTTGGGACTCGTAATGGCACACAACAACAAGGAGGATCAGGATCCAGGAGCTCGGTCGACAAGGTTGAATCGGGGGAAACCGTCCCAGTGTATCCGGGCACTAGTGAATCCAAACTCGGAGCGAGGCAATTCCCCATATCTTTCGCTCAGTTAGTCGGCCCTGACAAACCACTATATAGAATGAATATTCATGCCCGAGAGTCCCGCGACGTAGTCAAAACATGTCGTGCCCTTACCCTAAGGAGAACGTGTCGCTGTAAGTACAATCGCTCAATGGTCCTCGGGGCCAACTTCGTAGAGCTCCCAAGCTCCCTCAAAATTGCGTGGACTGATTTTACTCGGTATATAATGTCCACAACGTGAGTGCTGGCGTTTCCTTCGATTGTACAGGGATTTACAATTAATACGAAAGTTGTCCAACGTGAAGGTCCGAGTTCTTTAGGATTCAATATTACTACAATTGTTTGCAGGGCACCAATGCTACCTGGAAACATAGTCCGGCGGTGCTGTCCTCTCCTCGTCAGCCTCTAGTGTTCTCAACCTCTGCATAACAATGTCGAACTGTGCCTGAATGTGAGTCGGTATCACAGGCTCCGCAGCCGAGCTCGAGCTGGACATCAGGAAAACAGCGCGCTGTGCTTAAACGTCTTATTCAGCGAAAATCCGCTTGTTAAGACAATTAAGCGTGTTTTTGCTCAATTAAGCGCAAATGCTTTCTCGGAAAGGAGCTCTCTCCGAGAATTTCATCAGTCTGCTTAAATCTTCGATAATTGAGTCTGAGAATCTAGACATGCCTATTCTAACGGTGGGTGCTTAAGCTTGGGTGCAATGTATCAGTCTACTAATCACGCTGGGATTATTGTGGGCGAGAAATTATTTAAACGCATCTATTAATCACAAGTAAATACTACAATAATACATCTGAACATGGCAAGTACACTGGTACATACTATCAGTATTATATTAGGCTGCCACATTGCAATTCACTGTGCCTTGCACGGACGTGTAATTCTCCTGTAGAACAATGAGTTGTCAGATCAAGAGGCTCAAGGAAGGCAGCCTATGCGAGACATACCTTGACTGCAATGGTTGGGGAGACTGTGTGGCTGCCGGCGTGGAAATTGACTTGGCAATAAAGATGAGGAGGTCTTCCGCAAAGAGATATATGCAGGACATATAATAGAAACCAGATCTTGCGTTTCAACTGCTGGTGGGAATCCGGTGTAACTGGCTGCCATCGAAGACAAAGATTCTGGGATTTCGGATCCGGGATGATCAGTGGGACTGAACGATAAAAAAAAAAAACAACGCACCAACTAGCCTTCAACTAGCGGATAGCCATTCACCACCTCTACCGATTCATCCCTATGCGAGTTCTGCAGGCGCGGATTTGACGAGTTGAGATCAAGTCAATCGTACGGCTGACAAAATGTGTTGACTGTGTCGTGGGTCCCAAGCCACTCGGATGTTTCCGAAAGAACTGCACAGTCATTCCCACGCTGCCCAATAAAGGTGAGATAACTCGCCAACATGTTTTTTTCAAACACAAGTTCGACTTGGGTTTCAACTCTGTAACATACCATAGGCTTTTGTACTAATTAGTCACATCTGTTAGTTACGACTAAGCTACTATGCCTTGAGGTGCAAGAGGGCTGAGAAAAACGGTAGGTATATTCAAGCGCGATCACTTCATACAAGCATGATGGATGGGTTTCTCGGCTAGGCTTTCTAAAAAATAAGCTTAAGTTATTCAAGAGTTCAAAATCAAGACTAAGCTTACGGAATTCGGACTAAGCAGATCTGTTTCAGCGTAAGACCATTTCAGCAGAACGAACCGTTTTCCTGATGGAACTCTGTTGCTGCTGTTGGGTTTGAGCCAAAGGTTGATTCTGAGACTGAAATTTCCGAGAAGCAGAAGCAAGAGGAGGATTAAGAGAATACGGGAGCGGGGTGATTATTGTTTGTCGTGCCTCCACAACGTTCTGGGAATATGTACCATTGCCATTCCAAGAACCGGCATCCTCATCAGGCTGGAGAAGCATCCTCCCGGAAGTATCCCATACGGATCGTCTCCGGTAAATCAGCAACACCATTACAGTAGGATAGATGCCCTGTGATATTAGAGAGTTTGCGCACGAGCCATCAGAACCATTAATGGTAACTTTTTCTTGCGCACAGCCATCGGCCCCACAGTGGTTTTTTGCTGGTTGTGCCCGCACCCCTCCCTTTCGTTGCCCGTATTTCTTCATCTTCAAGCGCATGGAGAGTGGGAAAAATTAAGATCTGGATATATATTGGACCTACGAGGTATATGGGAGCTTCATATGAGCACATTTTGTAGCATGGGGTGAACTCAAGCAAATGACATCGATGGCTCAGCGCAACGAAAACGTGCGATTGATGGCTCTGATGGCTCGTGCGCAAACTCTCTATTGTATTCAGGCTTCGACCGTAACTGAGCCAAGGAAAAGGGGTCCAACGTACCACGAGTTGCGTCGCAGCAGCTGAGAAAACCAGTCGGAAAGCTTGGTTCAAGGAATTCGAGGAAGCTGGAGTCACCAAGGCTACCAGTTGCATCAGGAAAACTCCAATAGGCAAGTTTGTTCAACATTGTAGCAAAAGATGGACGAAAGTTGAATTATTACTCATATTACCTACATTATGCTCGTTACACATGTCCCCTGAAAATCACGGAATAATTATTGAATAAATACAGCTCAAGTCTCGATAATATATTCGCAAGAAGGTCAAGGAATTACGAATCAATTGGCTCCGAACTTCGAAGTATTGTGCGTCGTTGAGTGCAATGATGTACATAAATATCCCAACATATCTCTGAACAGTGACAAGATTTATTTGTAAATTACGACAAGAAACACAAGTACTATACAATCATAGTGCCTAATTCAGAGAGATACTGCTATGGGCGCCGACATACTACTCCGCCATGGACTCACGTTACTCCGCATACGGGTCGCCGGACAAGCTTTCGGTCTATATTGATGCAACGAGACTAATGCATAGATAATGTTCAGCCTTTGAAGAGCTAAGTATGCCATGGAAAAACTCACCAAACACGAACCGGAAGAACCTCTTAACGACAACGATGTCTGATACAATGACAATCTGATTCAGCATTCTGAATAGTTGAAGATGGCAAAAGACTCACCCGAAGTTGTAGTCGACAAACCCGTCGATGACTCCTCCTTTTACAGAGACGACAACGGTGATCCTTGTTGCCAACCGTGGGGATGAGACTGCCATTCACTGTGACGGTGGTTGTCGCACAGCTGGGGATGGGTTGATGGATAGGGTGAATGTCTGGTCATGGCGATGGGATGGGATGGGCGTACCTTGACATTTTTTCCGGCTTCATTTACGACGTATTCCCAAACAGTATAAATGCCATTTGTGTTGACAGTTTCACTTTTTCGTTGAGCTAGAGTTGAAGTTGAGGGGGTAGATAATGGGCAGGTAATGGGAGTCAGAGGGATTGGACTTCGTAAAAATTTGCTTGTGTCCGTGTACCACAATAGAGAGTTTGCGCACGAGCCATCAGAGCCATCAATCGCACGTTTTCGTTGCGCTGAGCCATCGATGTCATTTGCTTGAGTTCACCCCATGCTACAAAATGTGCTCATATGAAGCTCCCATATACCTCGTAGGTCCAATATATATCCAGATCTTAATTTTTCCCACTCTCCATGCGCTTGAAGATGAAGAAATACGGGCAACGAAAGGGAGGGGTGCGGGCACAACCAGCAAAAAACCACTGTGGGGCCGATGGCTGTGCGCAAGAAAAAGTTACCATTAATGGTTCTGATGGCTCGTGTGCAAACTCTCTAATGGTGGCTTCGGAGATAGCCGGTGGAACTAGTGTTGCCCACGGCTCGGCTGGAGCCGTGGCTGAGTTGGCTTCAAGCCGAGCCAAGCCAAGCCAATGCTAAAAATGGCTCCAATTGGAGCCACATCTCCGCTTGGCTTCTGAGTGGCTCAGAAGCCGGCTCAGCCGGCTCAAGCCACCAAAATTTTATAATGTTTGAATCAGATGGAATTTAAAGAACTTTATCTAGTTTATGGTAGTTAGTGAGTATTCCTTGCATGTAGACTGTAGATATTCCCCACCTACCTAGTACACGACGTGAAACATGCCCGAGACAGGCCACATGGTTAGACCCGGGTTGGACCCGGGTTAGAGTACAGCCACAGCCA